GGGTGCCACCTTCCCTTCCATCCACGGGCCCTCCAGGGAGAACAGGGCTAAGCAACTTCCTCGCACTCTGGTGTGGGGTTCTCTGCCTGGCGCCTGGGAAGGCTGCTCTCCTATCCTCTTCCCCGAGGCCGTGCAAACCTGGAGATGGACGCTGCCAGAGTAGGTTGGGGATTGGCTGCACTCAAGAGGAGGACAAGGTGGAGAGGGCAAGGTGGAGAGGGCGAAGTCCAGGAGAATGACTCCTGACGGAGCTTCCGTGCTGGGCTCCATGTGAGAGGCGCGCGCAGGGCACACCCTGCAGTGTGGATAATCCCCCTCTAGCCCCTGAGGTGAAGAAACCTTTGCCTAAGAGGAACTGCAAATAGGGGTGGTGGTGGGTCTGCAGTCTTTGTACAATTTCAACCCAGTATTTGTTCTTTTGTTATAGCTGGTGGAAATCCCTGGAAACTTCAAATTACAGTTGTTGACTGTTCTTCTAAACACACACACACAGACAGACACATAACCAAATAACAGAAACGAAGTGTCCACTTGGAGTCAGTGGCATTTACCATATCATTCTGTTGCATCTGTTTTATGAACAATCCCATGTGTTTTCACCTCCGATTGAGCAGACGTCGCTCTATGGGAAGTTGTGAAGATACCTGGCCTGGAGCTGGGCTCCCCGAGTCCCACTTATGCCACCGGAACTGTGACGGGATTCAGAAGGGGAAGCAACTGAGTCAGATAAGCACTCCCCCCATCCCCCAGGACAAACAGAGCCACAGTGGTGTGGCCCAGCACCCCTTTGACAGAGGCTGTGGCATCAGACATGCATTTGGATGTGTACGAATGATCTGTGAGTAACACATGCGTTTGGGTGGGGAGTGATTTTGGGCAGGTCAATCTCGCTAAGCCAAGGGTTCCTCATCTGTGTAATGGGGAAGCAGGCTTTGCCCACCACCTGGGAAGTATGTGAAGGTCAAATGAGAAAATGGGCACCCAAGCCGCTTAAGCATGGCAAGCCCCCAATAATGTTGTCACCATTGGATGCCACTGACTCGATGCCAACTCATAGTGACCCCATGTGACAGAGTGAAACTGCCCCATAGGGTTTCCTAGGCTGTGATCTTTACAGCAGCAGAATGCCAGGTCTTCTCTGCTACGGAGCTGCAGCATGGGTTCAAACCATCAACCTTTCGGTTTCCAGCCAAGCATTTACCCATTGTGCTGCCAGGATGCTGGCTAATACCTTGGCTTCCCTCACCAGTAGTCTGTGCCTCAGAGCTGACACATCTACACGTTTGTTGGATGAGTGAATTCCTCACAAAGGTACAATCTGTTCCCACCCAATGATCATCTTGTCACTGTGTCATCCTATGTTAAAATTAATGCAGTTTTAAATGTTGCACATGAAGTGCTTTTATTAATTCCCTTACCAGCTAAGCACGACACAGTTCTTGGAGTATTTTATTAAATATTCCTAACTGCAGCTCGCATCTGTTAGCAGGGTTAGTAACATAAAACCGCCTGACTGGAACAGAGGTTTACAGGTATTCTGCTAGGTATGGCCATAGATGTATTGCAGTAAATATCAAATGAGAAATAAGGGCACTTTGGCAATTAGGAAACTTACACCACACAAATGCACGATCACGCTATAAATTGAGCAGGACAACATCTGGGGCTTAAAGAATAAAATTCACTCACTGCCTTCAAGTCGATTCCTACCCATGGCGACCCCTGTTGGGTTTCCGAGGCTGTAAATCTTTACAGAAGTAGATCACCCCATCTTCCTTCCACAGAGCAGCTGGTGGGTTTGAACTGCTGAACATCTGGTTAACAGTTAAATACCTTATCCACTATGCCATGAGAGATCCGTAAAGAATAAAACTAGGAATCAAAAAACACATTGCCGTCAAGTGGATTTCAACTCACAGAGACCCCACGGGACAGAGTTGGGTTGCTAACCCTTGAGACTTTATAGACTGTAATCTTTATGGGAGCAGATGATGGGCATCTTTTCCCACAGAGCCACTGGGTGGGGTCGAACAGCTGCCCTTCCAGTTAACTGCCGAGTGTTTAACTACTATACCACCAGAGATTTTTTGACCACCTTCAGGTTGTTGAAAACCATCACGACAAGAAATATTAGTAAAATTTCAAATTTCCTTTGATGCATCAGGAACTTCACCTTCAGATTCAAAGCCCAAACTCTTATTTGCAGGGAAAGAAAGATGAAGATCAAAGACTAAGCAGTGAGAGTAAGAATAAGCAAAGCACGATAAATGGAGGAAAGATCGAGGTTGTCAAGGAGTTCCTTTGGCCTGGATCCACAATCAACTCCCATGGAAGCAACAGTCAAGAAATCAGATGGCATATCGCATTGGACAAATCTACGAAAGACCTCTTTAAAGAGTTAAAAAGCAAAGATGCCACTTTGAGGGCTGAGGTGCGCCTGACCCAAGCTGTGGTTTTTCTGCCTCTTGGACCTGTGGTTCATATGCATGTGAAACTGGCCAGTGACTCCGGAAGACTGAAGAAGAACTGACGCCTTTGAATTACCGTGTTGGCGAAGAACATTGAGTCTCCCGTGGACTGCCAGAACGAACAAGTCTGTCGTGGAGGAAGTACAGCCAGAATGCACCTTAGAAGCCAGAATGGCCAGACTTTGTCTCATGGACTTTGGTCATGTTGTCAGAAGGGTCCAGCCCCTGAAGAAGGACATCCTGGTGGGTAAAGTAGAGGTTCAGAGAAAAAGAGGACGACCCTCGCTGAGATGAAATGACACAGTGGCCGCAACAATGCAACAATGGGCTCAAATACAGCAACGACTGTGGGGATGGTGCAGGACTGGGGAGGTGTCTTGTCATGTTGTACGCAGGGTTGCTGTGAATCAGAATGACTTGATGTTGCTGTTGTTGTTGTTATGTGCCATCGAGTAGGACCCGACTCATAGCGACCCCTCCTTGGGTTTCTGAGGCAGTATCACTACGGAAGTAGATTGCCCAACCTTCCTTCCGAGGAGTGGCTGGTGGATTTGAACCGCCAGCCTTCTGGTTAGCAGTCTAGTGCCTTAGCCACTATGCTACCAGAGCTCCCATAGAATGACTTGATAGCACCTAGTAACAACAGATGTAAGCGCCATGATGAGAGGCCTATGGCTTATTCTTTGCAACGGCTCAGGCCCATGGAGTACTGCCTGCACATTGTAGGTGTTCTACACAGAGTTCTGGAGCAAATGGAGCCATTGGTCCAGGACGGCTGGGATGGAGCATGATAATTTTGAAGCCACATCTGGGCTTAGGAAAAGCAGCTGTGATTGATTAGTAATGTCTTCCAGACAAGAATGGGACGTGGTCACACAGCACCATCCTAAATATATCCTATGGTAGACTATGGCCTCTGGTGGCATCAGTAGACTGGCGGTTCAAACCCACCAGCCACTCTTCGGAAGGAAGGTTGGACAATCTACTTCCGTAGTGATAAGGCCTCGGAAACCCAAGGAGGGGTCGCTATGAGTCGGGTCCAACTCAACGGCACATAACAACAACAACAACAACAGACTATGGCCCAAGCCTACTCTCCTGAGACCTCAAGTGGTTTGATGAGAAGGGAATAGAACCTAAAACTGTGCAACGGAGGAAGAGCTTAAGTGCCAGCATACCTCATGTCTTAGTGTAGGTTCTCTACAGGAGTAAACCCAGAGCAATCAATCAATAAATCAATAAAAATAAATAAATAAATAGATAAAATAATAAATAAATAAACACACACACACACACATATATATATATGTATGTATGTATATATACAGGAATTTACTTCAAGGAAATGGATTTTGCATTTATAGAGGATGGCAAATCCCATATCTGTGGGTCTGGTGGCAGGTTGGAGGCCTCTGCTAGCTCACAGGGTTATGGAGTCTGGCAAACCCAAAATCTACAGGTCAGGCCGCAGGCCAGAGACTTCTTCAGCCTTGTGTCCCAGGAACAGGAAGTCAGGTGACAAGACGAACGCAGGGTCAAGAGAGAGACGGTGCTTTGCCAGCACATCCATTTATATACTGCAGCCCGACCACACCCCCAAGGAAACTCCCCTTGTAATTGATTGGCTGCTCACATCAGCTCACAGCACGGGACGTGGATTACATTATATCACATTGTGGAAGAGCACCCAGTCCAGTGTCTGTCAAACGACTGCAAAACACACAGCCGAGCCAAGTGACACATAACATTGATCACCACAGTTCTCTTCCCGTGGTACATCCTCAGCAAGCCCAGAAGGATTTAAAAGACAGCGACCCTGGAACTAGATTCTCTGCTCTAGCAAATTTCCCCACTCCAGAGGTTCTCAGATCCACAAAACGGCAGACCACCTTTATGAAGAACAGTAGAAGAAGTGGCAGCCATGGCCACTCACGAGTATCCTTGCTCTGCTTATTTGCAAGCAAAACAAAGGAAAGCAACTTACAACCCAAGAGCTGGACTTCAAGATCTGCAAAGGCTTCCGTAGCCCAGCCCGACTAGGAGCCACTGGAAGTGTTTGAGGAGACGAATTACAATGGCAAAGGGCAAGATGTTTTAATTTATTTTAAGAAATAAATTGATAAAAATATTAAATTTATAAAATAATTTATTTTACGAAAGGGTCAACTGGTCAAGATTACTTGAAGGATGAGAGACTGAGCGAGCCTGGAGGACCACTTTGGAAGCAACAGTAGCAACTTGGATGATGACGAAAGGAAGACTTCTGTGTCCCATGGTGAAAAACATGAAGAAAGATGGAAGGCAATACTAAAGTAGGTGAACTGAGAATGGACGGCGAAAGAGAGGACAGACTGTATGTTCTGGGATTAATTGACAGGAAAAATGATACGGCCATGTTGTTGTTGTTGTTGTTATGTGCCGTCGAGTTAGACCCAACTCATAGCGACCCCTCCTTGGGTTTCCAAGGCAGCATCACTACAGAAGTAGATTGCCCCATCTTCCTTCTGAGGAGTAGATATGCCTAAATACATCAGGAAGGGGAGGTGTCATTAAATTGGGGGGAAGAGTGAAATATGAATTTGAAGTGTCAGTTAAAGATGTATGTGAAGATTTTAAACACTTGATTGGAGATATAGAACTGACACTCAGGAAGCAGTGAAAGACTGGAGATTTGGAGCAGAAATGTTGATACCAGTGGATAAGATAATGGTATAAAACAATACAAGAATTGAAAGCCAAGGCCTGAGCCTTGATATGTGTCTCCATCTATTGTGGTGGATGGTGTGGAGCAGGGATTATTGTTAGCTGCCTTGAGTCAGCACATGGCAACCTCATGTACAACAGGAGATAATGTTGCATGGTCTTGATGACTTTTGGTTGTATAACAGGAGATAATGTTGCACCATCTCCACGACCATTGGTTGCTCGAGTGCATTATGACAGCCACTGTGTGTTCTGAGTGACTTCCAACACAGGGGCTCATCTTTCAGCACTGTACTGGACAACATTCTGTTGTGATCCATAGCGTTTTTGTTGACTGAATTTCAGGAGATCTCCAGGTCTTTCTTAGTCTGGAAAGCTCTGCTTCCTGTCTACCATGGGCAACCCTGCTGGGGTTTGAAATACTGGTGGCATAGCTTCCAGTAACACAGCAACATGCATGCTGTAGCATAGTGGCTAAGGCACTTGACTGCTAACCAGAAGGCTGGCGGTTCAAACCCACCAGCCACTCCTCGGAAGGAAGATGGGCAATCTACTTCCGTAGTGATACCACCTCGGAAACCCAAGGAGGGGTCGCTGTGAGTCAAGTCAAGTCAATGGCAGTGACTTTGGTTTGGGCTTTGCTTCCAGTGGGTGTGGTTTGGGCTTTGCTTCTGTGAAGATTGACAGCCTTGGAGACCCTGTGGGCAGTTCCACTCTGTCCTCTAGGGGCGCTGTGGGTCAGAATCCCCTCCAGGCAGTGGGTGTGGTTTGGGCTTTGCTTCTGTGAAGATTGACAGCCTTGGAGACCCTGTGGGCAGTTCCACTCTGTCCTCTAGGGGCGCTGTGGGTCAGAATCCCCTCCAGGCAGTGGGTGTGGTTTGGGCTTTGCTTCTGTGAAGGTAGGAGCTCTGGTGGCGTATAGCCTAAGGCTCTTGACTGCTAACCAGATGGCTGGTGGTTCAAACCCACCAGCCACTCCTCGGAAGGAAGATGGGCAATCTACTTCCATAGTGAAGTAGATCCCAAGAAGGGGTTGCTATGAGTTGGGGCCGACTCGATGGCACATAACAACAACAACAACACAGTATGACAGATGGACAGATGGGTGGTGGGAACGAAGGATGACACACACACATAAGTCCCAGTATCAAGTACTCTTCAAGTGAAGGAGATGAGTGTTTTAAACAGGAGAGATGAGTAAACTTGATAAGAAGAAGCAACTGACCTAGAAATTAGATCATCCAGTGACCCTAGAGACAGATTTTTTGAGTTGTAACGGGGGTGAAGCCTGTTGGCAATGTGAACTATTAACGAGAGTCAGTGGGAGGTGGGAAAACCAGGTCGTAAGTACACATTCTTCTAAGAAGTTGGTCAGTGGGAGAAGTAAGAATGGACAGGAACTCTGCACATATCTGTGCAGAGAAGGGAAGGTGAAGGAGGAGAATTGGGAGTTTGTGGGGGAAAGATGACTCAAGATGTCCTTCCTGGTTCCAGCTGTGATCTAAAGTGGCTGATTATAGATGTTTAAGGTGCCAAGATGTGAAACATGGAGGCAGTAAGGTGACAGAAAAGCAAGAGCAGACAGTGGCAATAGCACAGCTGTGGAGGAGGCCTAAGTAAGAACATCGGGGGGGGGGGGCGGGGTTGGACAAAAAGATATGAGAAGAAGGAGCTCAAGAAAGCCTTCAAGACAACTGTGCTGGGCTCCTGAGAACCTGCAGAGCTCTTGCAGCCTGTGATATTTGATGCTAGGTGTCAACTTGGCTCGGCTGTGATTCTCAGTGGTTTGGGACACACTGGACTGGGTGCTCTTCCCTAATGTGCTATAATGTAATCACCTTCCATAATGTGACCTCATGTGAGGAGCCAATCAGTTGAAAGGGGCGTTTCCTTAGGGGTGTGGCCTGCTTCCAGCATATAAATAGATGTTCTGTTGAAGCCCCCT